GTGCAGTGTTAACTGTGGCATGTACCGTATAAACCGGAATATAAGTCGAGATATTTACAATAAAATAATAAGCTAAAGTCGCCCCTCGTCTTATATAGCGGTGTTTAGCCAAAAGTGCGACGCTGTCTGGCAACATGTAACTTGCATGTGCTTGTGAAGCCGGACGCGGCCATATCCGCATCCAAATCCATTCGCAGTCTGTTTTTTTTTTTTCGTCTGTTTTCTTTGTGTTTGTGATTTGCATCTGATCTGTTCTGAGTTTTCGCTCCGCTTGACATTGCGCTGCATTTTTAGTGGCCTTTTTTTTTTCGTTCACTGAATATGTCTAGCGGTGCGAGGAGGCAGTACTCAGCTGCGTTTAAACTAGATTTTGAGTTCGCAGAAGCGAACGGGAATATGGCTGCTCAGCGCCGCTTTGGTGTATTTGAAAAAAGCGTGCGCTATTGGAGGGCGCAAAAAGGAAAGCTGCAGAGGTGCAATCCACAAGAAATGTGGTTTCGTGGACGAAGTGCCGTTCATCCGCAGCTAGAGGATAAGCTAGTGGACTTTGTGCGGGAAGTTCGTGCGCGCTCGCTGCCAGTGACCGTGGATACCATTCGCAAGAAAACCTTGGAACTCGCTCGAGAAGCTGGGTCACGAGAGAAGAGTTTCGTGCACCGAACTCTTGGGTGCGTCGATTCATGCGACGCAAAAGATTTTCTCTCCGGCGGCACACATCCATCTGTCAAAAGTTGCCAGAAAAGTTCGAGGACAAGCTCAAACTTTCAGCGCTTTGTGAACGGCCTTCGGGAGCAGAACGACTGCATGATGGGGCAGATTGGTAACGCCGATGAGACCCCCTCGTGGTTTGACATGCTTTCGTCTACCACAATCACGCAGCGCGGCGCCAAGGATGTGAAGCTGTTGTCCACTGGCAACGAGCACTCGCGCTTCACCGTCATGCTGGCATGCACGGCAGATGGTAGAAAGCTTCCGCCCTTCGTCATTTTCAAACGCAAGACAATGCCGAAGGAAGTGTTCCCGCCCGGTGTTGTCGTTCGTGTCAACAAAAAGGGATACATGGACGAGGCTATGATGCTCGAATGGATACGAGTGGTGTGGAACCGTCTGCCAGGTGCACTGCTGCGTCTTCGCAGCATGCTGGTGTTGGATGCGTTTCGTGGCCACTTAACTGACGCAGTGAAACGCGCACTTGGCGACGGGAAAACGGACCTCACCGTGATACCAGGTGGTATGACATCCGCCCTCCAGCCGCTCGACATTGTGCTAAACAAGCCGTTCAAGGACCGAGTGCGGCTGGAATACCAAGAGTGGATGTCTGGCGACAACCCCAAGACACCGACGGGCCGCCTACAGAGGCCTCCGCTTGCGACTGTTTGTGGCTGGGTGCTTTCCGCCTGGCGCTCCTTGCCGGATTCCATGGTGGAAAATGCTTTCAAGAAATGTTGCATCAGCAACTCGCTGGATGGCACTGAAGACGACGCACTGTGAGAGGCGGCCAGCGACAAACTCTCGTCTTCAGAAGACAGTTTTGCTTCGTCGGACGAATAAGAGCAGTTGCGATGGTGGTTGAGGGGAGCACCGACGATCGGGGTGCGGTGTGCCCAATTCGCAAAAAAATTTGGTTCGGAAGTTTTGGGTCGTTTTCCTTTTTTTTCTTTTTAGGTAACCTGAACTTGGGGGGTCGACCTATATTCCCGCTCGACCTATAGTCCGGTTTATACGGTAGTGTGCATTGAAAGGTATCGAAAATATTGGTTCACCTTTACGGATGGCGAAACTGGAAATATTGTGCGTGGTGTGTGCAGTGTGAATAACGCGATGCCTCCTGTTTGTGAAAACAATGGTTGCAGTAACCGCTTGTCGATGGAACTTCACGATCCAACATTTTAGTCAAGATAAAAATGCGTTTGACGCGATCATCTGCGACTGGGTACATCTCAGCGTATGCGTGGTGTGCTTAAAAATAGAAGTGCATGATCTCCGGGTGATATATACGACTACGCATGAGCTATAAGCATGTTGTAGCGTTGCCGAATCTGCATATACGCTTCACCACGGGTATAAATTGTATTATCGGATACCTAATACGTGTTAATTGAAACAGTGGAGATTTTCGTTTCTTATCCTTTTTGTAATTTTACGGCTCGATTCTTATGAAGTGACAATGCACATTAGAAGTTTGTGCATCAAGCCTAAAAGAGCGATATAGACATGAAAGCATGTTAAAGTGTCAAATGCAGCATGGTAACTGTTCCAGATAATATTATATATTATTAAGTTGTCGGGTTTTACATCACATGAATTTTCACTGGGTTATTCAGAAACGCCGTGGCAGAATTTCACTTTAAATTTCACAAGGATATGTTAACCTCAGCCTATCGTACGGCAGGAACTTCTTTTTTTTTCGATTCTCTCTGATCAGATTTTTGCTCAATGAGTGAAAATCTTATCCGTGACGTCGCGCACAGCAGCTCAAAAGTATGCTGCCGCCAATGCTAAACCTCGTTTAAAACTGCATTGCACATGCCACGACAGAAATTGAATAAGTTTACATCCATGCCATGCAAATATTTCTCAAAGTGCCAGTCACCGTGTGCATTGAAAACGTTCGTTTTCGAAAAAGATCAGATTTTTTTATGACTGCCATCCACGTGGGTGAAGCCCACTGCATGCTAGTCGCGTCTCTCTGTACTCTAAATAAAGTTTCTCCATCCACCTACGACGAGCAAATTTCCACACTATGAGCAGTGACCCTTCCGCGACACCCTTCTTTCAAAAGCTGCGACTTTAGAACATAGCAATGTAGAAATTTCCGTCGAAGGAATCAGACACGCAGCTCTGCTTTGCAGAAAGATGCCTCCGGCGGAACTTTCTTGCTAACCAGCACCTGCTCCGAGAGAGGGTATGGTGGGCAGGGTGCTTGCAGTGACGTCACACTGTTTACAAACAGGGAAAGGTCTATTGAGATAAAGCCAACACTCCACGGCAGCTTTTTTTTTTTTTTTTTTGCTCTCTTCACGCGTGTTGTTGAGAGGAGAAAGGTTACGTGGCAGCGACGGGAAAAGGAGAAGCGGGGCACTGGCACGCACCTGAGAGACCCCCTCCTCAAGGCGCAGAGCCGTGCTCCCGCAAGGGGCAAGGGCTGCTGAAGATAGTGCCTTTTTGCTTTCCTTTAACCACACATTCATTCAACACAGCGACAGCTTTCTTTTTTTTTCCCTCTCTCTGTTCGCGTGCGGCGTTAGAAGGAGAAGGGTCTTTACGTGGCAGGGCGAAAAGGGAGAAGCATGACACAGGCGTGCCGCAGATCGGCATTGGAGAGAGAGCAAACACTCCCCCGCAGCTTTTTTTTTTCTTTTTCATTTCCTTCGCGCACAGCGTTGAGGTGTCGCAGGTGGCGCCGCGGGATTGGGTGGGGTGCTGGCAGCATTGTCGGAGCGCAGGATGTTCGAATCAATCGTCGGAAGTTCTTGCACGTTCGAATTACCAGGCGTTTTCGCCCATTGGAATACACATAACTTTGACAGGACCTCTTCATGAGTTCGAATTAACCGGAAGTTCAAATTAAGCGTGTTCGAAATAATAAGATTCGACTGCATTTCTTTTTTTGTAGTGCATGTTTATCCTGTCTGATCTCTAAGCTTCTCCCCAGGCTCACAAAGTTGATAGAGCTGCAAATACACTTAAACAAAAACTGATGCTACCGCAATAAAATTTTTCCCTCTGGTATTTGACAAAAACTTTTTTTTAACTGCACAGTTTTTAAAAACTACTGCTTCAGAGGCAACACTATGACCACGGCTAGTGTATCGGAGATACCTCTCCATGCAAATTGTTTTACAGCAAAAGCTGTTATGAGATCACAACACGGTTTACGTGCGCGCCGTATTTGTCTGCCGCTGCCGGTGTCCGTAACCACTATCGCACGAAATGAGAAAAAAAATTCTGTAAATGAAAAACACTAAGGACACAATGGGATTCAAACCCAGGTCTTCTGTGTGCCAGCCCACCATGCTACCACTGAGCCATGCCGGTGCTTGAAACTCTTTTGCAAACTGGCCTTAGGCAGGCTTCAGGTTGGGAAAGGAATTGCATTAGTATGAGTAACTTTAAGGAGCTTTAGAGCAAATGAACAACCAGGTGTTAGATATTGTGAATTGCGCAACGAGTGGGTCATCGAATGCTCCAACCTTCTACAAAAGCTTGATCTTGTTCACCTATTAATTGGTATTGTGGGGATCGCGAAATCTTCTGGCATGATTCTTCATCGTAGCCAGCTACAGGCCAAAAAAATTGCAGAGTTTGTTGCAAGTGTGCAGCAGGTACCACACTTTTCCAAAGAATGACAAAGGATGACATGGTGAAAGACTGCCTACTACTACTACACAATGATTTAATGATTTATGGTGTAGTGGGTACCCTGCAAGTGTGCTTGTAGCAGCTATCCAAAGAGTGTTAAAAAAGGCTCTGAAAGGCCGCTCTTCCAGCTTTCCCTGCGACAATGCTGCATGTTCCGCGCAGACCTGGCTTTTTTTTATCCTTCAGTTACCCAAGTTTTGTGCATAAAATCATTGCAGGCAGCCTCTGGGTTCTGAAAGAGCCTTGTGAACCCTGTTAATTGACTACTTTTACGGCAATTTTCTAATAATGCATTTAAGCAAATTGCCATTACAAAATTTAAGCTTGATGGTATTACACCTACATATATCAAAAGCAGTCATGGGAAGGTCAGATCACTTTGCTTGAGACAACCTGAGAAGTGAATGAAAAACTACTCAACGGAATGTGCTGACAATTATCAAATATGCACAGTGAACAAAGTGGTTATTGAGCATTGTGTGACAAGACAATGTTCGGTTCTTGTCACACATAAAGTTTGTATAAGACACTGCAAACTTACAGCATGAATTTCCAAATGGAAGTATTACCTAAACATCCAAAATACATGAAGATGTCCATGAGTAAAACAAAATGCTTATGCTCTTCTCATACTGCACCTGTCCGTAGTCGATGTGTGTGAATATATTGAAGAAGCGCTCTATATATGACCGGAAGTCGTCGTCAGTGGCAAACTCGCCCTCGTCCGAGAGGTCTCCCAGAAATATGACCACATGTGGTTTCAAGTAGTCATTGGCCAGAGCAAACGTTTTGCTGATGTACCTGCAATTGAAAAGTAGACACAGTTTTTAGAGAGTTCACTGCGTCGATATACACGTCCCAAACTATCATGCACCGAATTAAAAAAAATAGACAATAACATTTCACATAAACAGTGAAGTACATTGTTCACAGCCCTAGCGAAAATTCTGATAGAGGTCTGAATCAGTCTGATACAGTTTCCTATCAGTTGTACCAGTCTTGTATCAGACTGATACAAAATCTTATCAGTTCTTATGGACATCTATATCAGTCTGATACAGTTTCTTACCAGTGCTACCAGACTCATATCAGACTGATACAGTCTTACCAGTGCTACCAGCTTTTGAATCAGTTTGATTGGTCATTTATATGGCATATATTAGTATATCAGTTTTATAGTCATTTTTTTTTCATTTATGGGATCTTCATAAAATGAATTACTGTCATTTTAACAATACTTATATTTTTGAACACACTGCTCATATATATATATATATATATATATATATATATATGACTGGTCATTTCTGCATGTCTATTAGTGTATCAGTGTTTTCTATTGACCACTTGGCGTCCGTTCTGTGAAATATTACGATCACTCAAAGAGTGCAACTGGCAGCTTTTGGATGCGTAGAATATAATATACAATGCTTCATTGTGATACATAATTGCCAAACTGAGCTTTAATCATGCAAAGCAGGTTTCGGCCAAGATGAACGCCTTATTCTATGAACAAATGGGGTTGCAGTTGCCAGATTGCAACACAGCTTCTGCTGACAATCATAGAAGACATCTAGAAGTTTCAAGATACTAGTATCCAAAACTTATCAGATAGCAGTATAAACATAACCTGAAACAGTACAAACAAAACTTCTCATCACACAGCAATACTAACATGATTTCAAAACAGTTAGCTTATAGGGCCAGTAAACATCCCAAGACATAGAACTTCACAATTAGTGCACTACTGTAAAATGAGCATGCTGATAAAATTTTTTCAACTGCGTCGAGTTGAAAGCCTCAGGTGGTGCTGCAGTTTCTCGCTTTCACAACCCAAACCATCCCCAGCTGTCCCTCCCATATAGTGCTTTGCCTTTAATGACGAGCCACTACCGTATTTATTCGCGTAATCCTCACACTCGCATAATTCTCGCACCCCCTACATCGCCCCCAAAAAATATGATTTTTTTTTTCCTCGAGTAATTATCGCACCCCCGAAAACTGCCGCAATAATGTCGTCTGCTCGTTCCAGCCATTGATGATGATAGCGCGCACCATCTGGCGCCATCTCTTAAGCATCAAACGTATTGCACGGAGATCCGATCCAATCTAAGCCAAGCCAAGCCGAAGTGGCCAGTGCGCATTGCGGTGTGTTTTGTGTCGATATAGCGCGAGAACAAAACGACGACACAGAGACAAGAAGGACACGAAAGACACGAGCACTAACTTCCAACTGAGTTTATTGCGCAGAGCACGAAAATATATAGAGGAGACAGTAACCATGTGATAAAAACCATATGGAACAAAGAGCAGAACATGAGTAAGAAAAACAAAAACAAACAACACAAAAACAAAAGCACTGAAAAACAGCAAAGAAAAATCTAGAAGAAAACGAAACAGAAAGGTAAAGATAATACAACTACCTGCCCGCACAGAAACCTTCGAGGAACCTGCATTCCTTCTCGGACAAAGCCACGGAGGGCTTGCTAATACAAGGCACCTGTTCGCGTGCCACCTGTGCGGCCTCGACAATGACTCGAGTGCTTTCATCTCTGTGTTTGTACAGCGTCGCTGTGTCCTTGAAGAGGGGAACAAAATTGCACTCAGTGTAGTGCTGAGCAAGAAAACCATCTTTCCCGTTTCTAACATTGTTAGCGTGTTCTCTCAGCCGATCGTTCAGACACCTTCCGGTCGTACCGACATAACAAGCACCGCATGAAAGGGGGGTCCTATAGACAACTTCCCGGCAGCAGGCCGCATACCTGTTTCTATGTTGAACTCTGCATTCCATTGATGATTGCATTTTCAGGGGGTTTGTAGATTTGGTGAGGCTGATTAATTTGAAAGTTCGTGTCCTCTCCTCGGCACCGTTCAAATTAATCAGCCTCTCTGAAGAGCTGCTCGGCGAGTATGTGCTCAAGCACATACTCGCCGAGCAGCTCTTCAATTTGCGGAAACCGACCCTGCTGTGGTCCACTGAAGCCTTTGCGTGAAGCTTTGCTGTCGACAATCTTCTGCTTTCGTTTCCGCCAGTCCCGCACGCACGTTTCGGGAACTCCGAACGACCGCGACGCGGCCCATTTCCGTCCGTTTCTACACACGCGATGACTTTTCTTTTAAAAGTGGCATCGTGGTGCACTCGAGTTTTTGAAGTCGGCCCTTCCATACCGTCGACGCTAATGCACTACAACATGACGAACTCCTCAGCACACGTATGAAGTGCCGCACATGGGAAACATATAGGCAGAAATGGCCGACGCGCCATGCCGACGCACGTAGGGGGCAGCCATTTTGGATATGCCGATGGCAATAGAATGACCGCATTCAGTTTTTTTTTTCGTACTCGATTCTAACGCACATGCAATTTATGAACTTGCTTAACCGGAAAAAAGGTGCGCATTAGATTCGAGTAATTACGGTAACTCAAAGCTGGCACAGGACCTTCAGCTCACACATTCTACAAAACATTTACCTGAAACATGTAAAGGTATAAATCAGGCAATCATCATCGGTCCTGCAAGCCTAAATTAGTTGATTTCATTAGCCAACAAAATCAAACTCTCAGTTGCCAGCAACATGAGCTCATAAGTAAGCGATCATTAAAAAAAACCTATTGTCAGTCTGTGCTGTAAGCATCAAATTTGAGAAGATCATGGTGCACAGCAGTGTTTTTTATCAATAATGTCATCAGTAACTCAGAAATCATTCCAGTCTACTCCTAGATAGTTGCCATTGCTGCGATGGGTGCTACCATATCTTGTTGACACGAAAATTTAGGGGGCAAATTTTGGGCTCCTCACGCGATTCAAGAAATGGTGTTTAACACAAAACCCAGATGCAGTTTGCATGTCGGCATCATTGAAACTTTTTGTAGGGGGAGGGAGGCGCATTAGGATCATGTATCCTGAAATGCTCCAATCACGATGTAGCAGACAATAGTAGGACGCATTTATATGGCATGTTTTGTGCAAGGTGTCAAGTGCATGCAGTTTGGCTTCTCCGGCTGATGAAGAAAACCAGCCAAAATGACAAAAACATGTCGCAATGTGCGCAATGCACATCAGAATGCATTACCTTCTAACAAGCTCACTTGAAATTCCGGGAGAAGAAGAAATCAGCAGATAATTAGCCGATTTACTCATCACGTCAAACTTGTCAGTGTGTGGGGCATGAAGAGCTCTTGGGAGCCTCCATTAATTTTTGACCATCTATGATGCTTTAGCAGGCATCCAGCACATACCACACAAGCATTGTTGCGTTCAGTACCTATCAAAATGCAGTCACTATGGTGAAAGTTGAATTGTCAACCTTCAGCAGAGCAGCAGAACACTAAAGCCAATACTAGCATACCACCACCTTAGTACCACCACCTTAATACCACCTTAGTAGTATATTTACAACTAAGGTGGGTTGAAAACCAGTAACATATTTCAGCCTAAGTGCGTACAATGGGCTTGTGTGCATTATGTTCGATTTTCAATGATTTGAATAAAACATTGCCTACAGTCGTTGAAGGTTCTGTAATAGCAATTCACGATGTTTTACACGAGAGAAGCTCCCCCTAGGGTCTTTTGCGCGCACTTAAATAAGTGGGCCTCTAGCATTTTTGCCTCCATAGAAAATGCAACCATTGCGGCTGCAATCGAACCCAGCATGAGATGACTGTGTGCAGGGGTAAGGGCAATGCGTAGTTTGCTTTTCCTAGAAGTACAATATTATTTTCAATGAAGCAAGGAGCACACTAAGTTCTGCACTACAGCAACGTTCAAATACACCACAAATTTTGGTTTTATGCTACGCAGTATATTCTGGTAAAGGTACATTTATCTGCAAATGAAAGCTACAAGCTACCTTAATTTTCATGCAAATAAAAGCCACACACACTATTTTGACAAAAGAGAGAGAGAGAGAAAGATAGAAGCCAGTGTTGAGAAATGCAGCTGTTTCTACGTACTTAACGACAGCATACAACTCACCGATCAGAATCCCAACGCTCAATGAAGCCAAATAATCCAGGTGCTGTGTTGACACGACCAAGCAATTGTGGGTCTGCCACCAGCAGGAGCCTTGTGCCGATCCCAGCAGTGAACGGTAGGTGGGGCCAGTTCCAGTATGGCGCCACCAAGTACACCGGCCACTCGACAATCAGTGCATAGAGTAACAGCAGGCACACAGCCACTTTGCATCGGCGCCTGTACCACCCAACCACACATGTGGCACAATGGTTAAGAACAGTTCACAAAATGTTAAGCAAAGATTTTTCATTATTCACTGGCTGCTGAAACAGCGCTTTCAGACATAAATTGCGTGCACAGCCTATTTGATTGCACAGCATGAAAACGAGCGAATAATTTTGCTTAAGTTAGCCCAGAAATGAATGCACACATAAAAGCTGTCTAAGGACTAAGTAAAGATTTTTGAAAGTATGCATGCTTCATAGGCTAGCTTGCACCTCAGCTTCTATCATTTGATCTCTGTATGAATTTCCTCACGATGCGCCATGTTCTGTTTTGCTATGACATCACTTCAGTTATAATAACAAGTCTCTGTAGTATTTATGTTTTCTTAACTCTTTACCAACAAATGACGAGCTGATTTTATCATGCTCATGCTTGAAAAAAAAGAAAAAGAGGCTTCATATAGGACGAGCTTGCCCTAGCTTTTTAAATTTTTTTTCCATGTAAGCCTGAAGCCTACTTGAGCTTCTGTGATGTTCCATGCCTCATCTATATGTGTGCTACATTATGCTGGTTTGTCGATAAGATTAAATAACAGAAGGAGCTGCTGAAGTTGACACACTTTTGGTTTTGTTGCTAGCTACCAATTTTAAAATGGCATCCTTCGTGATACTTTGCCTGACAAATTTTGTGTGCTAGAAAAGTAAACAAATTGGGAGACTTTGGGAGCTTCTCCTCTTTGAATGTGAGCGACTTTGAACTTACATGGCACGACAGTGGTGTGCAGTGAAGCCCCCCTTTCGTTCAGAGGAAAAAATTTTTTAAAGACTATAGTCTTTCTTGGGGACCTTCGATGCAAAAATTTTGGTCTGTGTCTGCCTGTCTGTTTGTCCATCCTTAGCGGTATTCTACACGGCACCAAAGTGGCCGAACGATACTCGAAACGGCCAACCCTGTCCGCCAGCGCCCAACAATATTGCTCAAGATTCTGTGTTCATACTTCGATTATCAATTAAAAATCAATTATTGCACATATCTGAGGCACCATAACAACACGTCGATATTCTGTATGTATGTCTCTTACTAGAAAAGGCATACATACGTGATTCTAATGGCCATAGTGTTTATCACGTTGCACTGACCATGCAACGCTTGCACGAAAAGGCAAGCGTTTCCAGCGCTTTTCTAAGACGACACGGTGGTGGCACCTACCCGTCACCTTGCGTTCTACACCTCATCACCTCCGAGCTTTGTTTTCCAAGATAACTGCCAAATAAAGTTCATGTCTCACATGTGATATGACTTGACATGCTCTTTCGTCTCCGCTGCACGCTCGAGGCACTCTAATGCACCGCGTCCAGAATACCATTCACAGATTTTCTTGTGCAGAACATCAAATAAACGTTTCGTTCACTCTCTCCAGACGCAAGACTATCGTCTCTCGACAACATTTGCAGTGTAACATGCAGATACGGGGCCAATTTTTTTTTCTAGGAAACTTTGCTTTTCTGACAAACTTATTATTATTTATTGCTGTATGTGATCACCAAAATTACATGTGTGCACAGACATTTCTGTCTCTTTTGCAAGCTTTTAAGAACTATTTACCATCCTTAAAGGGTTAAAGACTGGTCAACTGATTACCTGCATAGTAAAGACCAAAAAATTGACCTGACTCAAGTGTGATAATGAAGGACTTCGGATGAAACTTTTGGCTACTATCAGTTGACATAGTATGCAGTTTTTTAAATTAAACATGTGACTGCATTTTTTGGAGCTCACCAAAGTAGTTGGAAGTCAGCAAGTAAGCATTAGTACTAAAAAACAATCTTAGCAGCACTGCCTCACAAAAAAAAAATACTCTAGGGTTTCGCAAAACAAAACTATAATCCAATAGCAAGGCACTCCGAATGAAAGTTAATGTAAATGGCTTTTGAACACCTAGGATTCTTAAAGATGCACCGAAATCTTACTACACCGGTGTTTTTGCATTCCACTTTTATCCAGCTAAGCAACAAACTACTAAAGCCACTGGGCTTGGTTGGGCAGAATACGCATTCCAATCTTTGGCTTCTTACATTTCTTAAACCTACAAAAGAATGCTAACAATCTGATCCCCAATAAATATGCTTTTACTTCGTATTTTAATCTGTTGAGAACCTTGTTAAAGTAAGTGTGCAAACTACGGGTTTTCGCCAATCCTCCAAATTAAGGTCCTACCAGGTAATGAAAGCATAGGGTCATGCATGTGCACCGGTGCAACTCAGAAGACACATTAGAACAGATAGATGAAACAAACCAACTTCATTAAAAAATTCGAGTGCACGGTTCAAGCTTCTCAGCATAGACACTGGCTTTATATCATTAACCGTGACACGGAACCTATTCAAGCCTTTGAAGATTGTCTGCTTCTTCTCACTGTACTTTCAACTTCCTCTGCAACATGGTTGCTGCTGTGGTAATGGCAGCACCAACACCTTTGCAGATGCCACGTGAAATGTGCTTCTGCTACATCTATATGACGAGCATGTGCTTAATTCATCCAGGCAGCTGATGAAAGAGCTCCAAAATTAAAGGGCACCTAAAGCTACTTGAACAATTTAAGCATGTTGCAAAAACATGCTACATTCTGCAAAGAGTACTACAACAATCGTCTCTGGCAAACATGGCTGTATTACATGCCACGGGAAAGGCAGAATGGGTTTTTTGTTTCCTTCTTCGCAAGCCAGGCAAGCCCAGTTCGAAAAGTGTCCACGAGGGTGAATGAGGGTGATAATATGAACAGGATAACAGCTGGCTGTGTTATGAGAAAGGAGATGATTTTGCCTATTTTGTACCACTAATTACTCTGTGAAACTTTCATCCACTTCCATAGCTCTTGATGCACTGCATAAAATACATGAGACAATATGCCAAAGAGTACGGAATACCTGTGAGGAGGTTAGTAAAGGCTACCGAGAAACTGCATTGATTATGTAGTCACTAATCAAATCCCTTTAAATCAAAACATTACAGTAGCACTTGATAAGATTTGTGGCTTTATCTTCATTTCAGACGTGTACAGACATTGTATAGTGCTGCCCTAGAATACAAATGTCTGTAAAAAGGTGGAAAAGTGTACAAAACACTTTTCAATAAAGTTTTTAAATTTCTTAGTTCAATAATAGCAGGATTTCACTACCTGGTTTCTGCCGAATTTCTTGCCATGCATAAAAGTTATCTGATGCCTTGTAAAAACAAACTTTAAAGCGACACAATAGGCAAGCATTGATTACCATTGAGATTAACTTGAGAAAGAACAGCCTTAAGAATGAGACAAAGATGGGAGGAGACAAGCTCTGCTTCGTTCCTAGTTGTGTAATTTTAGTTTCAAGTCAATTCAGCAATATGCCAACCAGCCCAATAAAAGAGCTTTTTTTAGAATATTCACAGCACTTCTTTCATGTTTTATTTGCAGGTTATGTCATTAATGAAGGCATCATAATTTTCTGCAAATTAATTTTAACTGGGAAGAACACTGATACAAGTGGAACTGATGACAGGTAATACCTCGAATAATGTTGCAACTCGCTTTGACTCGAAGGATCTGACAGCACAGTGTAGACAAAGCAGTGGGAAGTGTAAATGGAAAGCTAAAATGCAAGCAAGAATAAGAAGCCACAGTTTCAGCCACAAGCTAGAGAGACTGCAATATTTTATATTTCACACTTATGGAAGTTCAAATCACTTTAAACTGAATAAGTGTTTCATTTCGCAAATAAACAGACAAACTTTTTAATAGACTTACTTTTTTATTTTTCTTGCACTAGCTGTTACACATCAACAGCGCACAAAAATGCAGGCATGATGGTACAAGGATATGCATGCAGAAAATGTTGGGGGGGGGGGGGGGGGGGGAGAGTTTTAACAGTTTACTAAGTGAGCGACTTGTTTCTGTACATGTTGACTGGATAGAGAGCCGGTGAATCAGTGTCACCACGTACCTGCCTGCTTTAAAGATCTGTTGAAACAAGCTTTTGGGATCACACACTGAAATAAAACCTTAGAGGACTCAAACAGATTTCACGGCACAAGGCATTCAAACTTTGCCAGAGATAAAAAATTTAGGTAGCCTCAGATTTCAAGTAGTTGCATGGCGGGAGTTTCCATCTGATCAATAACCCTGGAACATCAGATGTGGTGAAATGCAGCACCTGAAGTTAATCAAGCAAAGATTTCTACAGTGTTACAGACATCAGCAACTTCTCTAATAGAAAGGCAAAATCTTATGCGAGCAATTAATGAGTTAATAAGAAAGTCACACCTCTTCACGGCGTCTCTCCTAAGAGTAGGCTTGTCCATGTTTCTTCATTACACCCATCAGGCAAAATTCATGCAAATCCATCTCCCAAACGCTGCTGCCCGTCTTGGTGGACCCAAACCATAGCCTTACATGTTTGCACTTGTCTCACAGCATTGTTGCAGGGCCTACAAAAGGAAGAAGAGAAAGTATAGCAAAATAAAAAAGACTGCCAGTTGCATAGAGTTTCATACAATAACCTAGAGAGAAAACTGCCACTGGAATCATTGTACCAACATGGGAATGATGGGAAGTACAGGCTTAGAATTGTATAGTGTTGACTAGCGAAATGTCAACAAATCTTTTTCCAGAGATTCAGTTTTCTTTTCTGGACAACGCAGGTAGTGAGGTACGGTGGGAAGAATTCAAGCAGCGTCTTTGCTGTTCAGAGGGGCTGAATATTGCTAGGTCTTTTCGTTTGCTTGGCATTGCGGCTTTAAAACTTGCATTTGGCAGTTTTACCAGAGCGTTGTGCACTAACTGCAGCGTATATATGTAGTGTCCCATGGTACAGAATATCGCATACAGTTCGTGTCTTTTTATAGACGAGTCTCGCTAAATACCGTTCAAACTGACTACAAAAACACGGCGAAGCTAAATAGATGCACAATCACATCCCTCTGACTTGAATTTATTGTCAAAGGTCTGTGCAAAATGCAAAATTGTTTAAGAAAATTGAGAAAGGTTCAGCAGATGACTTTGTCTTGGCTGAGAAGATGAGAAAAATTTGTTCTTTTTCTATGAGTAGTTTTACTCATCGCCTAATAAAGGTTGTATCTTAAAATGATGTCCCAGTGTTAATTGTGAAAAACTAGAAGTAGTTAGGTGCTTTATGTGCAAAGGTAGACCGCCGTGTGGAAAATAGGCAAGATGTCTCACAGGAAAAACGTATCACTAGGCATGCACATAGTCATGTATCTTGTATATATAATGTTGTCTATACTCAATACCCTTTCATGCAATCATGCATACGTAGGCAAAACAGGACACTCTTTAAATGTAAAACTTGGATAATTCTCTGAAAAGGTACACTGGTCTTCATTCAGCAGCATCATGCAAAAACGGTGGGTGCGCACCACTCTTTTTGGACACCTCAGTGTCGTTTTCGACATGAAGGTTAAACGGTGCGTGAACTTGAGTCTACGCATAAGCACAAACAATAGCAGCTATGCGTAAGCATTCTTTTTGTGAGTCTGCATGAAAACAAGCTATAGTGGACTTGTTTGAAGGGTTGAAGGGTGCCATGGTTGATACGTCTTTGGTTTTTCTTGATGTAGGTCCTCCTCGCAATTATCTCCTTCCTCCCTTAATCTGTCATGCAGTGTATGTATATTTTCTTGAGTTGACTTTTATATTAGCTTGTTTTTTGGAATAAACCTTCGGCTGATAGTCAGCACCTGTTTGTATATTCTTCTTTAGTGTTCTTGTCTGTTTTTCTTTTTTGTTTGCACTGCTGAACCAAGAACATTTACCAAAAGGCCCAGTTTACCATGCTTTTGCAGCTATGTTTTGTAGACAAGTGAAAATTTGTGGTGGACCACTGCCCTGTTTTACTATATAGTCAGTGACAGCCTAGAAATCAGTGGCAAGTAAACGTGCCACAGTCCAATTTTCTGGTGTTTCTGGTGAATTGTAAAGTAGTGCCAGTAAGCAAATTCACTCGATGCCACCTCAATTTGGGAGAAGCAAACTCATTTATCAGCATTTCTCGGAACAATATTCTGCAATACTTTTGGAGACATAGAATAACACAAAAATCAGTTGTGTAGCATGTTTCTGTGGAGAAGCACTTCCTGAGTTCTCAAGTTGTTACGGTACAGTTAGCAATCTTTCTAGATTACGCAAAGGCATTCGACACAGTACCCCACCAAAGACTAATGCTAAAACTATCCCAGTTAAACTTAGACCCAAGTGTACTAAATTGGATCAAAGCATTTCTAACTAACCGTTCTCAGTTACCTCAAAGTAACATCAGGCGTACCTCAAGGTTCAGTTCTTGGCCCCCTCCTGTTTCTGATATACATCAACGACTTACCCCTCAGCGTATCCTGCAAAATCCGCATGTTTGCAGATGACTGTGTAATCTATCGGACAGTAACTAACACTCATGACCAAAATTTTCTCCAGAACGATCTTAACCACATTCAAGAATGGTGCGGTAATTGGCTTTTGTCTCTTTACCCTAACAAATGCAAACTTGTTATGTTTACCCGCCGTAAGAATCCTTTCATTTTTTCATATCATATCCCCAACATCCCTGTAAAATCACAACCATCCTACAAGTATCTAGGTGTCACATTGTATCGCGATCTCACTTGGAATGCGCATATTACTAACGTCATTTCATCGGCAAATAAAACTCTGGGCTTCTTGAAGCGTCACTTACGTCATGCACCAAAACATGTGAAGTTGCTGGCATATCAGTCCCTCGTCAGATCGAAACTCGAATATGCCTCTCCCATATGGAACCCGCCCCAAACATACCTCATTAACGACCTCGAATCTGTGCGAAATCGCGCCGTTTCGATTCATTCACTCCCAGTACTCATACGACATCAGCATTTCATCCTTGAAAGCACAATCCGGTTTATCACCCCTCTCTGTTCGCCGCCGTATCGCCACCCTTTCTCTCTTTCATAAATTTTTTCATTCTTCTTTCAATGCAGCTCTTTACATTCTCCCCCCGACATACATTTCACACCGCACAAGCCATCCACTTCAAGTGTCCCGTTATCGCAACAGAACTGCCACTTTTTCCGCTTCTTTTTTTCCCCGCGCCGTCAAGGATTGGAACGACCTTCCCTGCTCCATTGCTTCAACCACCTGCCCATCATCCTTCGCGACAAACGTTACAAATCACCTGTGCTGCGAAAATTAACGTGTTCCAATGTTCTCTTTTCCTGTGTATCCACCCCTTATGTAATAACCCCCAGTGGGGTTCTTAAGGAAATAAAACTGAATGAATGAATAAGCAAGGACACTAAAAAGCAACAGTACTAAGTGAAGTCTAGCTGAGAAAACTACGTTTTAAAAACAGCGATTTTTATTCATTTGCCAGTAAATGCTCATTGCCACGGTATTCAGAATGAAAGCCAGACTTCACTTTTTTTTAAATTTCATGTTAAAGCTATTGGTACCAAGGTATCAGTTTGCCATAACAGATATTGAAGTAACTAGTATTTGGATAGGTTTAGCACAATTTAGACAAAGGCAGGAGACACAGAGAACACATACGCTCATCTGTGTGACTCCTGTCTTCGTCTTAATTGTGCTAAACCTATCCGAATATGCACCAACTCGGCCAAGTCAAGCTGCTATTGGTATAGTATTTGAGTTGTTTCAGTGAAAGAGTTCTGGAAGCTTCCGAGTTGTGTCAGATACCTTGAGAATGCAGTTTTCTGTTTTTGTAACCGTAGGCAATAAACCAGATCCAACTTGATGTTGTCGAAATTCATGACAAAGCCAGGTGGCGCTGTCATACGTCTCGCATTCTTGCTTAATCTTAAGCTTAGCTTTCAGCCGTGATGGTGGCCATTTTCTTATTGCAGAACCATTAAGAAATGCAGCTTTACATTAGAGTTTACGATTATTTTCTGGTGTTTTTTTTTTTAATGGAAGCTAAGCTGGAGATGTACAGTGAACAGGTCAGTAAGCTCAATAGATTTAGTTCATTTAATACCTCAGTTGAAGACATGAGCATGACTTTCAGCACTCATGTTTTCAACAGTTCCTATGCCCAAAAGCAAAAAAAAGAGCCAAAGCTTGACCACTTTAAATAACATCAGCGACACTCTTACTAATCTTCCAACACGTACTGTTTATACATAGTAGTTGTTTAAAGAAAGCAAAGCAGTCAAACATAACCACACTGGAAACGCAGTTGCACAATTTCATGTGAAGGGTGTCGACACTGTAGGGCAAACTAAGGGGAAAAAATAATAATAACTTTTGTGCCAAAGTGGAAACCATGATATGATTATTATAAGATATGCCCCAGGTAAGGGGCAGAACCTGAATTATTTTACCACCCAGCATTCTTGAACAATGCAGCCAAGTGTTCTTGCATTTAGTTCAGTTCCAAATGTGACCAGGAGTTGCACCTGCATTCTAAGCTTAGCAATCTGACACACTACGTGCTTAAGTACCACAACAGATGCTGTGGCACAACCTGTAGAATTTCACTAACAAAACTGGACATATAAGAAAGAGAAAGCAGACTCGTATGTCGGGATGGTAAATAAATACATAACGCATGACGAATACTAAGGTTCCTTTTCTGTGTCACCAAGCCACGTGATTGGTTGTAGGTATTTGCTAATCTGAAGGGTCGTATTTGATTCCAATGTGAACATTGACATCCCTTCAACATCTGTGGCCTGAACTTCAGTGGATGAAGATATAAGGCACAACAATCAAATGGAAAGATATATATTAAAGTGAATAAAAAGAACAAACTTGTGTCCGATTAGATAAATACAAGATATAACTACATCAAAATATTTTTATTGTGGTGATCATTTGATGCACATGATCTAAGTGTGAACTGGTGAAAATTTCTTAACTGGCAAAAAATTGTGTCACTATCTTGAACTTGAAAATACATAGGTGCATGCGAACAGATAAAATAAACCAGATATACAGAAAGGCATAGGTTTTTGCCTTGGATTCACATCTGGTTTGTGTGTTGACATAACATTAAACGACTATCGTAGTAAATTATGGGCACTTGCTGATTTCGCATTCACATCTGGTTTGTGTGTTCACATAACATTAAATGACTATCGTAGTGAATTATGGGCACTTCCTGATTTCGCATGCGAAAAAGTTTCTATCACTATCTAAAGAACAAACCTGCCACCAGATGATCGTCACGAGTAATCAACCTGCAATGCAACTCCTAGGCAAGTAGCCTGCGCGGCCAGCTGGGACAGGTTGCTCGTGTAACAGCATCGACTAGACACCTTTGCAACTAGGGTGCTTTCAACTGTTACTACAAACAATGCCACGTAAAGTAGATATTGCTCTGCGACATCGTCGTTAGCAAAGAGAGGAATCTTATGAATTATAAAAAAAAACGAAAAAAAAAACATGATCGTTTTGCCAAGTAGTTTCTGCACAAAGCTGCGTTACAGCTGATATCTTCGATTATTAAATGTGTGCTTTGGCTAGAAAAGACACTGCAAGAAAACACTAGCAGTTTGTCCGTGTAGTTTACATGGTTATTGTGTTTTATTTAAAAAAGTACATCCTCAACAGAGCAAAGGGTATATAATAATATTAGAAAGAAACGAATCGAGCCCAAATTTCCGTATTTTCAAGGGGGGTGGCACAGCTTTCGACGAAAAATACAGAGGCCTTCGCGAGCGTTCCGTCACTTTCCCAAATTATCCGGATTGTCCTTCTCGAGAACGCAGCCCGCCACAGAAACACGCCCATTTTTCTGCGTCGCTGCACGCAAGCGCCTCAAGTTGAATATTTGTCCTTCGTAGTAACGAAACCACGGCAAGCGAGTACGCAAGCATCGAAAGTAGGGCCCGCTGCGCTAACTGCGTAAAATACGCATTCGCACACGAAAGCGCTCGCACTCACGCAACAGAGCGGAGTACACAAAATACTTGTGTGCCTATGGTGATGCACCAACTGAGCGACATGGCAGCCCTGCAGGCACATCAGATGAGTCGTGCAGTGATCGATCACTCCCAACTCTACTTTATTTGTGCACAATAATGCACGAGCTCAAAAGGCCCCGCGCGAAGCGACGTTACCAGCACTAACCTGCTGGGCGTTTCGGTTTGGGATGGGACTCGTGCTGTCGTCCTCAATGTCGCGGCGACCTGGAGCCAGCAGCCCCTCCCACGGCTCTTGCAATGAAGCCCCATAGTAATTGATCCACCGCAGCTGCATTCAGAGCAGGGGCCTCAAGAGCAGCTGGCGACAAATGCAACGACGAGAGCGGTAGGTGTTCTGTGGTGACACTTCACGCTGCTCCCGCCTTCGCTGCAGCCATGCGAAGCACGAGATCAACGACACCATCTCAGAGGCACTGCATCGTCTTCAAGTCGTATCTTTCATGCACCCCAGACGGGGCTAACATCAACTTTGAGTATCATCATCACTGTAACAAATTTAATTTAAAATATTGCACGTTAATTTTGTTTTATAAGTAAAAACAAAATGCTATTTGTGTGTTTAGTAAATTAAAAAGCGTTTATTTAGGTAATTTTGGTGAGTGTGGCGTATTTGCCTTCTGCAAACAAAAAGCACAGCCTCTGAGACTTACATTTGTCTAAAAGCGTGTGCCGAGGCGTTGGCGCTCCGCCACCGAGTTTCATGGAGTTTCGCCAAAACATAGTATATATGTGTTCTGTGTTTTCACACAATCACGCATAGAGTTTCTCACAATCATACCTAAAGAAAAATCTGGCGCTAATGAGCTGAATTCGTAGTGCTGAGCTACTAAAAATCGGAAACTTGGCTTTTTTTTTTATTTTTGGGCAGAGCCAGCTGCGCCGCGAGGCGCACAAGCCACTCCCGAACTCTATGGCCGTCCCCACACAAAAACGGCTGCTGCACTGCACGGAAGTGACGTCATGTACTTTTTCGATTACGCACACTTCGTTTGAATAGTCAGAGTGTTTAACGGTACGTCTAGACGTAACAATAGAAGCAGTAAAAGTTACGTGCAAACGTAAAAGTAAAAAAAAATGTTTATTAGGTCCAGCGTGGCAATACGAAACCGGCTTGTTAATCGTTCCGAACCGATTGGCAGCTGTGGGCGTAGTAGGCCGCTAGAGCGGCACAATAGACCAGATGGATGGATTGGCTGTACGGTACCCTTTAGATCGGGCAGTGACTAGTGCTACCACGGAGGAAGGAAACCTTTCCTTCCTCCGTGAGTGACACACTGCCACTAAGCCGTAATAGTGGATGAATGAATAGATATGGCTGCACCCTTTAGATTGGGTGGTGGCTAGTGTTACCAAGCCCTGATACTTAATGAATCAAAAACTAGATTTATTTTTTCCCCTTAAATAGTGAGGTTGAGGATTCGTACTTTGCAGTGAAGGGTTTAGTTTTCAGTCGTGCCTTGACTTTAGCCACCAATCAGATAACCTCCTTCTAGTTAATTCTACCCGCTTAAAGTCTATTTTGCCCTCCCTGTCCCTAAACCGTAGTGCTTTGAAAAACTCTGCGCCATCATCCTGAACTATAGGATGAAGCCCTTTACAGAACATTATGAAGTGTTCGGAAGTTTCTTCGCCCTCTCCACACGCACTACATACCGTGTCTACCCCTTCGTATTTGGCCCGATATGTCTTGGTTCGCAATACTCCCGTCCTGGCCTCAAACAGTTGAGAACTACCTCGAGTATTATCGTAGATCCTTTCCTTGGCAATTTCCTGCTTATAAGTTCGATAGATATCTAGTGCGGACTTCTTAATCATGCCAATTCTCCACATATTGGTCTAAGCTTCCTTCACCTTCTTCTTGACCGATAATTATTTATGGTTTGGTCCCCTGCTATTTTCCAAGTATTTACCAGTAAATTTTCTGGTTCGATTCCTGCATTTTGTGTCGACATTCTTCATGTACAAGTAGCTGGATACCTTCCTAGCCCAACGCTCCTCCCCCATTTCTCTCAATCGCTTCTCAAATTTTATCTTGCTGCTAGCTTCCCTGCCCTCAAATGATGTCCATCCCATATCACCTTGTACTCCCTGATTTGGTGTGTTCCCGTGATCTTCTAAGGCAAGCCTACTTATTCCACGTTGCTTAATTTCTAATCTTGCTTGAACTTCTGATCTCATGCACAAGACCGCATTGCCGAACGTCAGGCCAGGAACCATGACCCCTTTTTATATTCCTCTCACAACATCATACCTATTGTAATTCCACAGTGCCCTGTTTTTCATTACCACTGCATTCCTGTTACCTTTAGTCGTCAGGTATATTTCGAGTTCCCTTACGTACTCGGCCCCATTGCTTATCCATACGCCCAGATATTTGTATTTATCTGTTATCTCTAGCGTGACTTCCTGTATTCTAAGCTCACTACCTTTGTTATCATTAAAAATCATGACTACTGATTTTTCCTAACTGAATCTAAAATCTAGCCTATCTCCCTCATTACCACAGTTGTTCACCAATCTCTGCAAATCTTCCTTGTTGTCGGCCATTAGAACTATATCATCTGCGTACATCAATGCTGGTAGTGCCTGTTCAATGAGTTTTTCTTGTTTGACAGAAGAGAGGTTAAAGCCCAGTCCACTTCCCTCTAATTTGGCCTCTAATCCTTGTAGGTGCAGCATGAATAGTAAGGGTGACAAGGGACACCTCTGCCTAAGCCCCCGTTTTACCTCTGCCGGCTTGGATACCCGTTTTTCCCCTTTATAATTACCTTGTTACCTTTATAGATATCCTTTAAAAGATTAGTGACTTTATCTTCCACACCCAGTGTGTCTGGTATTCCCCACAAGTCCTCTTGAACCACGCTATCGTACACTCCCTTGATATCCAAAAATGCTAGCCACATGGGCCTGAGTTCCTTTTCTGCTATTTCGATGCACTGCGTCAGTGATAACAGATTGTCTTCTAACCTCCTGTGTTTCCGAAACCCATTCTGCAGTTCCCCCAGCACCCCCTCATCCTTTATCCATGCCTGCAGTCTTTCCTTTATAATCGTCGTCGCCAGCCTGTAAACCACTGATGTCACTGTTATAGGATTGTAGTTGTTTATGTCAGCTTTGTCCCCCTTTCCTTTATAGATCATGCTCATCCTGCTAAGTTTCCATCCATCGAGAACTTCTCCATCGATTATTATTTTGCTCACTGCCTATCTCAAAGCCTGCCTAGACTTCGGATCTAACATCTTTGTCAGCATAATTGGAATGCCATCTGGGCCTGTTGATGTACTACTAGGAACCCTTTTCTCAGCCCCTTCCCACTCTTGTTGTGAAAATGGAGCCATTGTGCCACTTGATTCATCCGTGTCTATTGTGGTGCATAAAGCACTTCTGTGTTGAAATTTTTCTGTCACCCTTGTTCTTATATATTCGATAGCTTCGTCCCCTTCTAGCCTAGCACCTTGAGCTGTAGTTATAAACCTCGGCTCTAGGCTCGTCTCATTTCTTAGGGAGTTTAGATGGTTCCGAAATTTCGCAGCTGCCTTTCTATCTTTTTTATGTACTTCTTCCAGCCACTGAGCTCCCTTTCTTCTAATCTTTTCATTGATCAGAAAGGATGCATCCCTTCTACAGCTTGGAAAGATTTCCCATTTTCTTTCAACATCATCTGTCGGTTCACCCCGCTGCTTAGCATGTCTGTGTTCCCTAGAGGCTTCCTGACGTTTTGTATTGGCTCTCTTAACTTCCTCATCCCACCAACTTTTGGGTTTGTGTCTTCTTTTCCGGGGTGACTTGTCACGTGTATGAGCAAGCTCTAGCTAAGTCTAATTAGATACGTGTATGTCCACACTGTTTTATTGTCCTCAGTGATTACTTTCTCAATTTGTTTAGTGGCTATTTCAATTTGCCTTTCTGAATAGAAATTTTCCCGTAGTTGCTCATCTTGTCTCCTTCCCACTTTCACTGGTCTTCCAAAACTTAGCTTGATACGTTTGTGATCACTACCCAGACTTCTGGAGCCACCTTCATCTATGAGCATTCCCCTGAGCTTACCATACATCCTATGTGACATCAGTGCGTGCATTCCCCTGAGCTTATCATACATCCTATGTGATATCAGTGTGTAATCTATCGTCGACTGCAGCCTTCCTACCTCCCATGTTATTTGCCCTTCACACTTCTCGGTACTGTTGCAAATGATCAAATCACGCCTTTCACACATCTCCATGATCATTTTGCCTGTCGGGTCGGTATACCCATCTTCTATGTGTGCATTCATCTAGTATAAATCTTTTTTGAAACCCTTTTGAAAAGGGCCCCCCTAACTCCCTTTTTTAAAAAGGGCGCCCCTAGCTCCGCGGACAAGAACTACAGTCTGCCGCCTTTTTGAGGGTACCGCAGCAGACGACGCAGGCTGTGTGTCCCAGCTGTGGTTAGAAGTGTGGCAGCTTGGGCTAGTTGGTATGACGATAGTTATAGCGCGAGAACAAAACGACGACACAGAGACAAGAAGGACACGAAAGACACGAGCGCTCTGTGTCTCTGTGTCGTCGTTTTGTCCTTCTTGTCTCTGTGTCGTCGTTTTGTTCTCGCGCTATAACTATCGCCAGCTATGGTGGCTAGAAGAAGAGGTGTCAGCATCGTCCAGGCCACGCCTTGAAGGGAGGCGTGCTGGTATTTCAGTTCGCCGTGGAGCGGCGCGCAAGTCGCCACCGTGATCGGTCGAGAGCGCTCGCCAGCCGCTCGCGCGGCACGTTTGGTCGCTTGCTCGTGTGCTCACAAATTGCAACGTCTACACGTTGCCTATTTGGACTTGTTCAGGATAAATACGTGCCAATGTGATCATGCCACAGTGATGGGTAAACAACAAAGACACTGCTTTGTACCTGGATGCAATGCGGGATATATTTCGGCCCGCAAATAAAGGAAGAAAGCGCCTCTCTTCTCTGTTCCCACCGACGATGAACGGCGCAAGGCCAGGGAGCGTGCGATTCCTCGCGTTGAGAAACCACTAGAAAATAAGTACGTTGTGTGCGAAGCTGATTTTGACGAAAGATTAATCATCCGTAGCTACATGCATGTTATCAACGGGTTCTTAGCAACTAGAAAAATAGCCGTACCTAAGGAGGGTAGGTTCTTGAGTGAATGAACTGCCGAAAGACTCCGCGTCACTCTAACCAGCATCCCTTTCATCCGGCACGATGTGACGAAAACCTTTGTCTACAAATATTTGATGACGTCTCACCTCTGCCAAGATGCGCTTAAAATCTTTTTTGGAATTTTGAAGCAAATGTCTGGCTCTAATGATCACCCTTCGCCAACACAATTTTTGATCTCTGCGAATTGCCTCAGTTTTTACAGCTTGGCACAGTCACCCTCCAGTGGAAACATACCTTCTGGATTCCTGCGCAGCCT